GCAAGTCGGAGCCCCGCCCACCCGCGCCCTGGAGAGGAACCCGGAAGCAGCCCGCTTGGGCGCGACTCTTCTTCCAAGCTCTATGTAGCTCCGGGGCGCGTCTTTTCGGCGGGGCCGTGACGTCACCACCCGCGCCGCCCGCCCCTCTATTTCCGCTTCCGAGCGACCCCGCTGAGGACGCAGGAGAAGGTGGCGATGGCGGCGCTCGGCGGTCTCTCCCGGCGGCTGGGGGCCGGTCCGGGCTGGAAGCGGGCTCTGTCGACGGCGGCGGCGGAGGCGCCGGAGAAGCACCACGGGGCCGGTGCGTGGAGACGGGCCGGTTGACCGGGTGACCTTGCGCTCGCTCCCCCTCCTCGCATCGGGGCCTTTGCAGGCCAGGCGCCCCCCAGAGAAGCTTGGACGCCCGGTTGCACGGCCGAGTATCCCCGCTAGGCGAACCGCGGCCGGGGATTCCGCTCCCCGCCTCCCGGAGACGGCCCTTGGGCGACGCCCTGCGGGGCCGGGGCTGCCTGGGACTCGGGGCACCGGCAAGGGCGGCGCCGCCCTTTCGGGGCCTTAGGGAGCTCCCTTCCTGCGCCGGGCTTCGGACGCGGCTCTGGGGCAGCCTCTGGACGATGCGTGGAGCTTTTCACGACTTGGCACGTTGTGCAAACAGCCCAAGGAGCTAGTCCGTGTTGAGTGGATTGAATCTGGGAAATGGGTTAATGCAGAAAACCAGTTCGGTGGGGGGTGAATTAGCCAAGGGGTCCTCAACCTTGGCAACTTTAAGACTTGTGGACTTCAACTCCCAGAATTCCTCAGCCAGCTTTGCTGGCTGAGGAATTCTGGGAGTTGAAGTCCACAAGTCTTAAAGTTGCCAAGGTTGAGGACCCCTGAATTAGCCGTTGCGCCAAAACAAGCCTCCCAAGTACTGTTTGTTGTGTTATATTCGTCTTCTTCTGCCATATCCGTTATCGGACGTTGGCGATCCTGTTTTAGCAGACCAGGGGATTCTTAGCACCCCTGCCCCATTTAAGGGGCGCCCGTACTCGGGGCCATTGTTAGGTTTTGCCGCCATTAACATGAATTTTCCTGGGAAATATGTAGTGTAGTAGTCTTCCCTTCGCTTTCTACACCGCTGTGCACACGCTGTTCAAGGGGCTGCCACCACACCGTGTGCTGTTCTTCTGAATCCGTTCCAACCAATATGCGCCTTCAGTCGATACTGGGGGGCCAGCTGCCCCTCACCAGGCCTGTTGGTCCACGGGAGGTATTTGATTCCCTCCAACCCACCATTACAGCATAAAAGCCATAATGGGTAGGGGGCCCCAATCCACCACCTGGGGACACGCTCTGTGGCGGTTCCAGGCTCCCCCGAAGAGGTGTTATATTTACACAGCTATTTAGGGCCTCCCCCCCAAAAAAAACCCTCATTAAAACAGGAAGCATTTCACAGCACGCACTGCAGACTATTTGGGAGTGGGCTGGCTCTAAGAAATCTAAATAACATAAAACGGGGAAAATGTGAGACGCTAAATTACACAGATAAAGATGTAGTGATTCCAGTTATATCTTGAGTCCAGAAATTACTATTTTGAGACTGATCTGTAGTACATCTATTTGTAAAATACCGACACTAACCCTAACTCTTTACCTGGATTTCTTCTCGTGGTGTCGGCCTTGCTCTTTTTCTTTTGCTGATAATATTCTGGAAATGGTAATGGAAAGGAGAGGGTGGGGTAGAGAAAAAATTATCTTTGCATTAAGCAGCAGGAAGTTACTGCAGCAGAGAGTCTTCAGCTTCGGACTTCCTGGTTCAGATGTGTTTTTGTTGAATTGCCTGTAGGAACTAAAAATAGATCCTGGCCAAGTCACGGAAAATGCTACAGCACAAAGCAGCCCAATTTTAGCTTAACATCTTTTTCTGAATTGGGCCGCTCTATAATCAAAAAGTAACTCCAAACTAATTAGCATCTTGCACTTTTTTCTCCTATTGGCCCATTTTCAGGTCCGTTATAAGCTGTCCTGCAGCAATTTTTCACTGCACTGTCTGTACATTGAATTAAAAGGCTCGGATAGTTGATTCTATTGGTCCTGTATTTTCATTCATTGCAAAGAGAGAACATTTCTTGACTTTCTGCTTGTGTTTGAATTCAATCAATTAGATCGTATATGGAAAATCTTGTCTTTTGTGGTTGCTCTTCCTGCCGTTGCTATCTGCCAGCTAAATTGCTACCTGAAAAAAGAAGAGCATCATGAAAGGCCAGAATTTATTCCTTACAAGCATCTTTACATCCGGACCAAGGTACTGAATTTGCATTGTTTCTAGATTTGTTCTGTGCTGACTGTTGGGAGTCATTTGCAGAAATTGAGGTTTAGATGGGTTGGATCAGATCCCAAAAGCATGGCCTGGACATCCATCGTTTCTCATCTAATACAGGTAGTTCTCGACTTACAGCCATAATTGAGCCCAAGACTACTGTTGCTAAGTGAGGTGTTTGTTAAGTGAGTTTTGCTCCATTTTAAGACCTTTCTTGCCACAGTTCTTAAGTGAATCACTGCGGTTAAGTTAGTAACTTGTTAAATGAATCCGGCTTCCCTATTGACTTTGCTTGTCATAAAATTACAAAAGGTGATCACATGACCCTGGGACATTGCGACCGTCATAAACATGAGTCAGTTGCCAAGTGTCTGAACTGTGATCACGTGTCCATGGGGGTACTGAAAGTAAGTGTGAACAATGGTCATAAGTCACTTTTTTTTGTGCCGTTGTAACTTCAAATGGTCACTAAATGAACAGTTGTGAGTTGAGGACTTCTTGTATTTCCCTTCTTATAACAGTCTCTCCTACACTTGGGTTTTGAAATAGGATTAGAATTACATTGCCTACCTATTGGGAAACTGGTTATAGTTATTTATAGTATCCTGAACTCTTATCGGTTCACAACAAATTTTAAGGGTGAGGCAATTATATAAAGTTCACAACTAAATTTTGATGAGAAGTGAGCTTCAACTACAGGAAAATCAGTTTCTCATCAATTTGTTGATTTATTGTACATACAGTCCTTGTGCATGATCTTCATTGGATCAATTGCTGCCTCTGAGTCACATTGACAAAAAGAGAAAAAGGTCCACTTATTTCTGATATATACTACAGTGGATGTCAACTTAAAAAAAAATCCTTGCATTATTGCCAAACAAAACTATTGTTCTGCACATTCAGCTTGCCAACATCTTCAAGAATTGATGTTTTGAAAATTATTTTTAAAAATCACCTACCATACTTAAGGCTCTTTTGAATAAAGTTTGATCCCTGGTAATCTCTTGAAAATATCCATAGTTTTCTTGGCTGCATTGTGGAAGCAGTTTGCCTTCTGATATTTCCCTCCCTTTTGACTTCTCAGTCTAGTCTACAAGCTGGAGTTTTTCTAGTGGTCCCCCACCTCTGTACTAATTACATTTGACCAAGTTTAGCTTTTTGAGATAATATTGGCTGGCTGCTGCCACTTTGCTGGTCAAAAAGCCATTATAGAGATCTTAATTTATGTAATTTAGGAAGCTAAAAGTACCATCTCTTTTCTCTTTGCAGCCCTTCCCTTGGGGTGATGGGAACCATACTCTTTTCCATAACCCGCATGTCAATGCACTTCCAACTGGCTATGAAGAGTGACCATTAGGCAAGTGGACCACAGCCACAGCATGGACCATTAAAGGTAGCTGGACCAGAATTGAAGCTGGGACCATAATCTGCATATGCTATATTGTTTATTCTGACTTCTCACAGTTGATGTTTTTCCTGTAGAAGTCTCCTGAAATAAAAATATTCTAGCCAAATCTTCCATTGATTCTTTAAAAAAAAAAAAAAACTTTGTATCAATGCCTTTTATCCTATCTCAAAGGAGGGCATTGTTGAGCTTCGTAGATGAAAAATTAAGTAGCACTGTTTTTGCAGAAAAGCAATGGGCTCAGTTTGTTAAGATAAATGATACAAACAGATACTGGTTACGATTGCTTGGAATTAGAACAAATTGTTTTCTGAAGAAGTACGTTTCCAGTAAGGAAACTGACAAGAAAATGAGTAACCTGTCATTTTAGTGAAAGCAGAATTATTCATCTTGCGATGGTTAATTCTTTCAGCAATATTTAGACCTGACTTGTGTAGTGCAGCTATTAAGGGGCAAGTGCTGTTTTGAGATGCATTAACAGGAACATAAAATCCACATTGCAGAAGTCCCTGCTCTTCTCTTAGAATATTCTTCCCAGTTTAGGCACTGCAATTTAAAACAGACACTGAAAACTGGAGTAAGTTCAAAGGAGAGCTGCCAAGCCTTTGGAATAGTTGAAAGAGCTAGGTGAGTTTATCTTAAAAAAAAAGAAAAAGAAAGAAAAACTGAGGGAAAATATGATAGGAGGCTTCAGATTTGTAAACCATTGTCATATAAAAGAGGGGCCAGACTTGAACTAGATTCGGAGGATTAGATATCAGGAGGAATTTCTCGATGATCACAGCTATCAGCCAATCTAATAGTTTTTTTAAAGTTTCCTTTTGCCAGAAGTCTTAACAGAGGGTGAAGAACCCTCTGTCCAAAATTGTTTTGCAAATCCTATACCAAGCAGATGAACTTCAGAACCTCTGAAGTCGCTTTCAAATCTGTGATCCAGTACTGCTTGAAAAAATTTACAATGTGATAAATAGCTGTGGAATGTGATTGCATCCTACAGTGATCTTGGTGGTCTGTAATTGTAATGGTAGGTTTGTTTTAACAGTGAGAGACAGATTAACAACAACAAAAATCCAGAAAAACACATTTCAAAAAAGTCATCAATTGATTTACATTTTAATGAGTGAAATATTTGATCTATCTATCAGCAAGGTTTCTGGCTCCCAGTTTCCTTTTATACAGGTAACAAGCTGAGATTAGGAGCACTTTCTTAAAGGGAGTGCTTCTAATCTCAGCTTGTTACCTGTATAAAAGACACCTGTCCACAGAAGCAGTCAATCAGACTCTAAACTCTCCACCATGGCCAAAACCAAAAAGCTGTCCAACGATGTCAGGGACAAGATTGTAGACTTACACAAGGCTGGGATGGGCTACAAGACTATCTCCAAGTAGCTTGGTGAGAAGGTGACAACAGTTGGTGCAATTATTTGCAAATGGAAGAAACACAAAATGTCAATCTCCCTCGGTCTGGGGCTCCGTGCAAGATCTCACCTCGTGGAGTTTTAGTGATCATGAGAACAGTGAGGAATCAGCCCAGAACTACACGGGAGCATCTTGTCAATCTCAAGGCAGCTGGGACTATAGTTACCAAGAAAACAATTGGCAACACACTACGCCGTGAAGGACTGAAATCCTGCAGTGCCCGCAAGGTCCTCCTGCTCAAGAACGCACATGTACAGGCCCGTCTGAAGTTTGCCAATGAACACCTGAATGGTTCAGAGAACTGGGTGAAAGTGTTGTGGTCAGACCAAAATTGAGCTCTTTGGCATCAACTCGCCGTGTTTAGAGGAGGAATGCTGCCCATAACCCCAAGAACACTATCCCCACTGTCAAACATGGAGGTGGAAATGTTATGCTTTGGGGGTGTTTTTCTTCTAGGGACAGGACAACTTCACCGTATCAAAGGGACAATAGACAGGGCCATGTACTGTCAAATCTTGGGTGAGAACCTCCTTCCCTCAGTCAGGGCATTGAAAATGGGTTGTGGATGGGTATTCTAGCATGGCAATGACCCAAAACACACGGCCAAGGCAACAAAGGAGTGGCTCAAGAAGCACATTAAGGTCCTGGGGTGGCCTAGCCAGTCTCCAGACCTTAATCCCATAGAAAATCTGTGGAGGGAGCTGAAGGTTTGAGCTGCCAAAAATCAGCCTCAAGATCTTAATGACTTGGAGAGAATCTGCAAAGAGGAGTGGGACAAAATCCCTCCTGAGATGTGTTCAAACCTGGTGGCCAACTACAAGAAATGTCTGACCGCTGAGATTGCCAACAAGGGTTTTGCCACCAAGTGCTAAGTCATGTTTTGCGAAGGGGTCAAATACTATTTCGCTCCTTTTGAACTGTAACCAAAGTGCAGTATTAGTATGTGGCTGTACTGTTGGTCTATGTGAGGGATCTTTATACCAAGGGTCCCCAACCCCCCGGTCCACGGACTGGCACCGGGCTGCGGCATGCCAGAAACCGAGCTGTGCAAACAAGCAAAGTCCCATCCGCGGGATGTAGGCAGCACACAAAACAACGCACTCTCGGGTCCGCAGAAAAACCTCTGTCCACAGAACTGGTCCCTGGTGCCCAAAAGATTGGGGACCTTTGCTTTATACAGTAGAGCAGCATCCATTACTGGTTTGTGAGTAGGAAGGCGGCCCCCAACCTTTGGACTGTCCTCCTCCAGGGCCACAGCAGCAAGCTTGGTTCAAGGTCGGTCTGAGGGCACCAAGTCAAGCCCCCTGAAGGCAGCACACTGAGCCTTTGCGAGGGGCATCACTTCCGCCCAGGCTTAGATCAAAGGGCAACATTCTGGGGTTGCAAGGTGGCATCTTGTCTTTGTGGCACCTTCAGAGGGCCTGTGGGCATCCACACAGCCTTAGCCAGACAGACAGGAGCGCTCACTTGAATTCTTCAAGTGAGGCAACTGATCCAGGACTTCACAACACTTCTACCTGCTCCCTCCAAAGTGTTAATTTCCAGAATTGTTGGAATTGCAAGCTACAAATTGTCTACAAGCACAGCAAACCCCCCCCCCCCCCCAAATATGTTGCTTAGCCTTGATTCACCTGCCTTGGCCAGTACAGAGAAGGTCACAGGCCTGATGAGCTACAGTCATGTGAAAAAGTAAATATACCCCATGTAGTTATGTAGACATACCAATATTTTATCTTCAAACAGTATATAGATGATTTAATTGAACAAAATAGCCTATGAAAAATGGACTTTGCGATCATTTATTCAACAATTAACAGACACGGCCATTTCCTTGTTGGAAAAAGGAACTTCTCCCACCCCCACGGCTCCAAGGCCTACCACTGACCCCTTTGGCAGAAACTCCCTCAACCAGGCATTTCTCATGACTATCTACCCGTCTCTGAGATATGGACGGGAGGATTTCTTTCCACTCCATGCAGAATTTTTTCTGCATGGTGGTGCTGAAGCTCAACCCCCCCCCCCCCCAGCATCTCAGTGGGATTCAGATCCAGGCTTTGACTTGGCCACTTCAGACCCCCCCCCTTTCTCCCTTTCTCCCGTCACTTCTGTGGGATTTAGGCTCACGGTCACGTTGCACGATCCAGTTGAGCCCCAATCTTCTGAGAAATGCTCTCACATGACCCTCAAGTGTCCAGAATTCATGGCAGGGAGCTGCTCGGGCCCTGATGCAGCCCCAAACCAGAACATTTCCCCCACCGTGCTTTACAGTCGGTATCGGGTTCTTGTGAAATTTTAACTTTGTGAGTTACTCAGACAGGCAGCTATAAAAATGAACACATAGTTGCTGTCCTTTGTTATTGGATTTCTTCATCCCAGTTTTATTATTGTCATAAATAACTCAAGGTGGTGAACGTGCCTTCAGGATTTTCCCCACTATACCAAACTCTTTTTGCTATGTCTTCTCATACTAAAGCCAAATAACACTATCTTTGCCTTCTCGGTCCAGAGTAAATTGTTCCAAAAATTCTTTGCCTAGTGTCCCATTTTGGATTTCAAAAACCACACAGAGAGTTGCTTGGTGATAAGCAATTTACCTGAGGCTCAGCAGACAAAATAACATAAATCAGGGTCTTAGAAGATAAAACTTGCCTAAGTAGCCTCACTCCACAGGACGGGCTAGAACAAGATTCAGTCCAGAGGTCTGAGTAAATCAAGCTCTTCAGCCAGTCCTAAGGTTTCAGATTTCTTACATGAGCAGAAGACACGGGAATAACATATCACAGCAGGAAATCACAGTTGTTTCCATGGGTCAGAGCTGCCTCTTAAACCAGGCTGCATCCAACTACTTTTAATTAAGATATACCCATTTGACAAGCTTTATTGAGCTCCGCTGTCCGCTCTACTTGCCAAGTGTTTGATGGAGGGCCACACCTCATGACTTGACTGCTCCAGTTAAGTTGGATACTTTTGATCAGTCTCATATTCCTGGGTTGCTGTCTCCTCAGGCTGACATTCCACTGGTTGAGTAGGAACAGTTGCAGGCCACAACATCTAGGTGTTCATGAGGAAAACAGTCTTGTCCTAATGGTGTTTCTGAAGGGCAAAGGTTTCCTGGCACACTTCCCATATAGATTTAATTTATGCAGCTTCATTCTAATGGTAGAGTCATACACTTTAACATCAATAGTGAAGAGGGTCATGTGTCAAAATTCTGAGGTTCTTA